TAGCTTGTTCCAAATGAGGCATCAAAACATTTCATCTAAATAATTTTTTCCGCTGCATCAGGTCTGGATTAAAAAATTTATTTATTTACATGATTATTCGTTGCAAAGTGTGTTATTTATCACTATGTACAATATTAAAAATTACTTTGTGGTAGCTATAGTAAGAAATAAATGTTGTAGATACAATGTTATTTAAAAATCTCGAAAAAATTCCGTCTGTAGTCGTACCACCTATGGTAGTAGATTGATGTCGATTATTATTGGTATGTAAATGTAAAAATCGTGAAGAATGTCTATTCAAGAGAGAACAGTATTAGTATATCTATATAGGCATGACAGAAAAGGCGTTACGCTTTGAAAATTTTTACTGCCAAAGCGGAAATCCAAACCTTGTAAATAATATTTTCACATAAAAAAAAAGATTGTGTATGTATACATATATAGTAATAAATAATTAAGAATAAATAAAACNAGCGATGTTTGAATAAAAAATTTTTTATTTTTTTTCTAATTATTCGTTTTACTTGAAGTCTTATACGTTTCACCATATGTTAATGAGCAATACTATAAAAATCGTTAGATTGTACAAAGTTTTGGGCTCATTGCTAAATATCAAAGAAGCTTTCTCCAAGATAGTATTTTTATGTGTTTGTTTTTGAAATGATAGTGTAAACTACATATGTTTAGGTACTGTTGATTAATATTTGATAAATTTTAATTTTCAAAAGTTGACTGTCCCAGATGCAGCAAGTATTTTGTATTGTATACTTTCTTTTTTTAATAAGTAGTGCATTGTGATTATTAGTAATAGTAATATCAAGGTTTTCAGTAGTCCAACTTTGAGTTAAGGAAATGTAAGTAAATAGTCATTTTATAAAAATGAAACAAGCTTTAAAGCTTTTAAATAGTATAATACTATTAATTTGACGACAACGTAACAAATGACGTTTAATATATTTAGGCCTAAGCTGTAAAGTAGGATGACATGGATACAGGTACTTGGATAATGTTTATAATTTGCATTTTTTTTAAGTTTTGAAACTGATCGTTTGGCTGTCAGTATCCGAACTAACTGGCACACAAATCAGCCATAAATTTGTTTTGATTCGTGCCCAAAATTTCTCTTTTATGAAAACACTTACCTTCATGAAAATTTTTAAATTAATTTTGAAACATGGTCATTAATGTCCTGCGCTGCTTGGTAAATTTGATAATTTTTAGGATTGTCTTTGAGTCAACCTATGGCAGAGGGTATTCGCACCTTATAGCCAGCCAGACTGTGTACTGATTTCTCGTACGAAATGTTTCTAATATAAACAATCCAAAGTTCTCAGTTTAGTTGTATGCAAGTAAGATGTTGGTAACTAAAGCATATTTTTAAAACTTTTAAATTAGAAGCAAGAAAATCGTAAGAATAATAATACCTCACAATCATAAGAAAACTTGAGTCACTCGTCATTTTGTATTATTGCACGTTAAAAAATCGGCAGTTAACATTTTTTTTAATCTACAAGAGATAAAAATTCATAATAAATAACACAAGATAAATAGATTTATTATTTTCTACTTTTGAAAAATATTAAATACTGAACTCATGTCTGTATGGTATTTTATAAAATAGGTTATTTACTTAGCTACATTTACTTATCATATGAGGAATTTCATTTTTCATAAATACAAAATTAAGTTGTCTTAATTTGCACGATGTACAAAATAAAATTTCATGTTTTAGAAAGATCAAATTAGTAGATTCTATGGCTGCGTTCAGACGTAACGTCAATATTAGCAATCTGAAATCCATTTGAATGCACAGGTGCGAGAGAGATGAAGAATCATTTGCCCTCTCTCTCGCACCCGTGCATCCAAATGGATTGCAGAAAGTACTGGCGTTACGTCTGAACGCAGCCTATCTTTTGAAACTCCCAAAACATCAAAATAATATTCTTTTAGAAGAGTATACTGACTTTTACTGTTTTGTTTGTTACTTTTGCCTTTTTAAATGTACAAAAAAATTCATTTCATATTTTACAAAGACTAAATTAAGATTGGTTCTTTTGTAAAGTATAAACTAGAGAATTTTGTCTTTTAAAAAAAATCGAGTTTTGTCTTATTACCGCCCAAATTAAGTCTTTTGATATAGAGTGATGAATTGGCAACAGCTTAACCTAGAGAACTACGCCATTTTATATTATCTTTCCTGATTTTTAGATAATTTAAATAATACATAATAACTTCTAAAAATTATACTAAAATAGCTTAGACCTTGACTGTGAAGTATGTCTTCTCGATAATGATGCACAATTTTCTAATCGCTTATAAATTAATGTGTAAGGAATCTAAAAGAGCATTTACTGTCGCATCACCTGTAGTACACACTAAAATTAGAAGCTCCCCTCTCCTCATAGGTGAATTATCAATCACATCCAAACTCGATACGGATATCGAAGTGCGAAACCGTGTTAGTTCAACTTTCATTTGTTTGACAATTACGACCGAAACCAGTCAAGCAGTTACATTTTGAGCACCACATTTTTGTAAAAAAATCAGGGTCACTGTAAGTAAACAAAATTTAGTGACAGATTGGGTTAGTAATAAAATAAAATCCACCAATAATTACTCGTCTGCCTGCTGAAAAATGTTTATCTCAAATTCACTGTTAAAATTCACTAAATTCACTAAATTCATCTTAAAACTTTTCGAAGTAACAAAAAAAATTTGTGTATCACACTAAATGCTGTATACAGTCACTGAATACATCATTTTAACTAATCTGTACGATTCTTGAAATCACTCGTAGTAATAAGCGGTGGGAAAATCCAAAGAGGTGATGGGACTTTGGAGCGCAAATACCCAGCAACGCTAGCCATTGTTTTACTGTTCATATAGACGTACCTATGCATACGCGTTAACGCATGTTTGGCCCCTTCCGTCTTATTTTATTAAATGATCAACTTGTGGATCCATTCAACAATTCAATGTAATGTTTATCTAATTCTATTCTATCATTCAACAAAAAACTTGGAAGACTTTTACAGATCAGTTCCTTACAAGTGCAATTTTACATGATTCTTCCACGAGGTTACATTCGTAATGAAGATTTTTTTAAAATTTAATGTGTAAACAATGGTATAATGTAAAAAGATCTCAAATTTTGTGTGGGTACTATCTGTACAAAGTTTTAACAGTATCTATCAGGAAAATATAAGTATGATCAACGTCCTTGATAATTTTTTTTCCATCTTACATTACTCTAATAACTACTACTGCTACCTGAAATTTAATTTTAGAGGTGGAAGCGGTTAACAACTTAATTTTTATTCTTTTTATTTATTAATTGGTATTTATTAAGTTGAAAACCAGAGAAGTTTATACAAAACAGTACTTCTTGCAGGTAAAGTACAAATAATTTAAGAATTGTCAGAAAATAAGTGCAGTTTGAACTGTAGAATTTCATTTAATATTCGTATCGTTTAATATTACATCCAAACAAGTATTATATCAATATTTTGCAAGAAATGTCAAATAATAAAAATTCCATACTACAAAACCATTTTTTTGATATTTTCAAACGATTTCCTATGTATCCTGTTATTTATATGATTAGTACACCAATAAATGAAAATATTAAAAACAAGTAAGTGTATTCCAATGGGCTCTAGAGTTTTTTCAGACATTTTTCAACAAGTGCAAATGTAAAAGAGTTATCTGCTATAGTATAATTTGTGGGCTATTTCAAAATAATTTCTTATTAAAACTGTTAAGATGATAATATGGATGAAAATGGCCAATAAAAATAAGTGTATTTACATGAGATCTACAAAATTTATATTTAAAATGTTGTCTTCAAATGTAATCTAGAAAATTTAAATGTTGTTTAAATAATTTCTGGCCTCTTTAAAACGATTTTACAACTTCTGTGGTTGATACAAATTTTTAATTCTTTTTTTTCGTGGAAAAAATGATTTTTTCGAATAATAAAAAATTAGTTAAATTAGTCAAGAAATTTAATAACGTACACACTTACATACGTATGAACACCATGTGGCTAACTTGAATTTTCCTCTCACTAGGTTCCAAATTTGTTTAACATTAAAAAGATACGACTTAAAGGTAGTAACATTTTTCTTGTGAAAAAAATAAATAAACGAAAAAAATAATCCATTATTTTGGTTGTGCCTAAAAATGTTTATATGGCAAAAGAATTGCACAACGGTAATCATGGTACCTCACGAGGTACCTCATATACTTACCACAGTATTCGAATTAATCTAGGTTTGAAAATAGTGTTTAACAAAGTTATGTGAACATTGCTTTTCGAGTATCAATTATATTGTAGGTAGGTATTACCATCTCAGTGGATATTATGTCACACTGAGTAAAAAATTATGTAATATGTACCATGTATGAAAAGGTTGTTTATTACACACCTTACGACAAAAATGAGCCAATCCAATTCCGGTTGTTCAGAAATTGAAAAAAATAGTACAAAAAAACTACGCCTAATTACTCCATTGAAAGTTGGAAACGATTCACAGCCACGACCTCTACATAATATTTAAACGTACGTGGACAAATCCCTGTTATTTATTTGCCGAATTACGTGACTTGTTATCTCCATCGTGGCCACGTTATTTTGGTTTTATTTGCTGACCCATTATTGAAGTGAAAAAAAATCTTGACAATCAAATGGCAAGAGCAAAATAAACGAGTTAATAAATACAATTCGTCCACGCTATACGAATACCCGAAAGAGTCCAATTATCTTCATTTTCGTGTTCCTCTCGAGAAAATCATTACACGATTAGGAAAGAAAGAAATGAATAATGATGGTATTGCTACTGGGGTATGTATACATATGAGTACGTGAATATACACTCGAATACACATGTACAATTGACGAAAGAGAACCACGCGCCGACCGAGCGCGATGTGCAATTCAAGTCCTGCGCTAAGTAGAGATTGGTTTACCGCTGCTTTTTTAGTCGCGAGCTCGACTCTAGCTGGAGTGCATCTTCATCTGTTCTCCCTGGTGCGGTTACATTAATTTATATCATTAGATGTAGATTTAATGTTAATAGTGCCGAACTAACGTTTTAGTTTTTATTTCTTATCAAGTGAATCACGAACTATAAGATTATTAGTGAACGATGGACCATATGTGGACGTTCTTGAGGTCTCTAACTTAGGATCCAAAAAGATATCGTTACATTGGAAGGTAAGTTTCTTTCTAAACCTACATTCTTTATTTTTTATTTTTAGTTTTTTTTTTAACGATGGCTATTTGTTTTTGTTATGAAATACTTTTTTTTGACAATTCCCGTCTCCTCAAGATGAAAGGAAACAGTTGACTGAAAATAAAATCTTGAATTTGTCGAATTCTCATTAATATGCGGTAATTTTTTGACTTTTCTTTTTACCTAGGAAATCAGCTTTCATAATCTTTGTTCTCATCACAACACTGTCATATCGATGAAACGGCGATTTTTCGAGCAGTTAAAAGTGTGCGTCGACAAAAAGTTGTGTTAATCTAGTTATTTTACTTCAAGTACATGTTAAAAAAAATTTTTTTTTCAACCAGATTCAAACTCAACGAAAAGTACCTAGTAGTTGATAAAAGAAAAAAAAAAATAAAATAAAGGTTACTTCAGGCTCATAAAATAAAAATGCGAAAAATATAATTTGAAAATTCCTTTGTCAATTTTTCAGCCGGACAAAATTTTTATTTGCGTGTTTCGAATCCTCTTACGTAAGTGCATTGTTGGAAAAAGAAGAAAAGAAAAAGAAAAAAAGATGCGATATTATCGTACCTGATAAGTTTTTCGTTAATGAAATACCACATTCACGTCACGGAAACTTTTCTGAGTTACAACTTTTAGTTATACTGTAGCCAAGCTGAAATTGTACGAACCATTTGTTATAGGTATTTACTTTGAAGCAACAAAATTTGCAAAAAATGACTTCACATTAACCTCCATCCGTTACGCACCGCAAAACGCGGTAATGCGTTGGATTTAATATTGGTATGAGAAAAAACAAGGATCTGTCGGGTAACATCAAAAGTCATTTAAAAGTATGTAAATGGAACACATAGCTTTTACTCGTCTGTTTAGCTCATTACTTTTTGCATTAAATAAAAACGGAAATGTGTAGTTTTTATATCACAATCTTAAAATTTAAATGATGAGTCATAAATGATAGTAGTAAAGTATACGTTTTCGAAAATTTTGCGTGTAAATTATGTGCAACGTAAAAAACAACTGCATTTTTTGCAAAAAAATGCATTTTTTCCCACTGACGTAATTCAAAACGTGCGTTACCTCTACAGAACAGTAACAATGAAAAATCTCGTTGACAAACTTTGAAACGCACAAACACTTGCCAACACCGCTTCCTTTAAAAACAATTTAACATCGTAATAACTCTAAAATTAGGCAATAAAAAGTATTCATGCATGAAAAAAAAAAAAAGATTCTTTAGCGGATGCCCGGCTCATAGCTACCTAGTCATTCTTTATAAGTTGCGTGAACGCGGGCGCGATTATACAATTCCGTTCAGAGAGTACCGAGTCTCCAGTAGTGGTGCGCTGATATGCGCTGTGGGTTCACATCTAACTCGCGATTGTAGAGTCAAAGAGAAAAAGGAGGTGGAGGTGGAGGTAGTGGAGGAGGAGGAGGATGAACACGGCCACTTGAGGTAATGGTTTTCTCCCAAAGACGACGAGTAGACGACGCCGTCGTTGTGCCTCACATGTTCACGCGATAAGGAGGAGTAGGACGACGCACTTGACCTGATTTTTCGAATTTCGCCGCTTTGCAGCGAAGACCGTGGTCACCTCATACGCTAGTGCGGGTCTATTTTTAATTTTGAAATGAATTATTCTTTTAACGCGCACTTATTGTGTGTGATAATTCATTGGAAATAACCAGGCTGGAAGGTCTCGAGGGATTTATAGGCTTTTAAAGATTGTGGTAGCCAGGAAGCGTTTGAAGATCTAGTCGTCAGAGTAACAAATTTCTCAAGTTCAAAAGTAATATTTCTTTTTCGTTTTCACTTTCTGGAGGACGTCAACCCAACTTCCTCCATTGCTGCTTACTTATTGATTTAGCAAAAATATAACTAAATTATGAAATTACGATTCATGTAATTAAAATTCACGAATTGTTTTTTGTACATGGAATGGGTTACGGACTTATTTTTCAAGGTCTGTTTTAAAGCCTGATTAAGATTTCGTAGCCCGGCACCGACTCTTTTTCGAAATCAATGTCGTTGTTACTGTGACATTTTTCAACATCATTCGGAAGAGTACTACTTTGTTTTTTGTTACTCACTTGATTTAAAAGTCACGAGATATTCTGTAGGTATCCATACGTAATTATGAATGCTATTTATTGAATTACGTTGCAATTTCTTTCATTGCAACGTTAACAACTTTTTATTAATTTTTACAAGAGAGCTCGTACACGCGTTGTCGAGAAAATTTGCTTTTTCCCGCACGTAGTGTAGATTATTTTTTCTCCCTATCGTCACTTGGTCGTTGTAAGCATTGCACGTGAGAAATAAAAATTGCTATACACCAGAAATCACTTCAATTATTTTAGACAAAACAATTAAAGGTAATTGGGTAAATTAATCTCTCTCTCTTTCTTTTTTTTTCTCTCTCCTTTAAGGTCATAAACTAAATACGAGCAGTGCATTGGTATTATTGCTATGTTATTATAAAATTCCTGAGTAAATCTAGAAATGCATCTACCAATCTAACAATCGAAGTAAACAAATGACACACGCACGTACACATACACACACATTTTATAAAAGTCTATAGAGTAAAATACAAAGGTCTAGAAAAGTCGGTGTACATGATACGATAACGAAAAATTTGTACGAGTGAAAAATGAACAATCCATTCCATCCGCAACTGTACAGCTTTACGGAAAGCGTGACAGAAATCACACTGTTTACACACTACGTGGTGAGGTTTGCGACGTATACAGCCTTTTGTGTGTGGTACGCATAATTGCCTGAGTTTAGGCCTTCGGTAATCGGATCATGAGCGCACCTGTGCAGTCATACACATGTATACGAATATAAGCGTATAAGTGTTATTCGCTACACGTGCGCAACTTCATAGAATCGCGCTACTTATATCGAGGAATCACAGCCACAGTAAAATATTTGATTCTGATTATAAATTTTTTTTTTATCAACAACAATCAAATATCGTGATTTGATTCTAGTGTTGTTTTAAAAAATATTTATTAAATCTTACTTTGTTGGCATAAATAAATGAACGATGGGTTTCTGTACTTTGGCTCCAGAATGAATGAATTTTCATGAATTTATGACTGGTGTTAAAAAATATTAAATTTGGCTGAATCATAAAATTAATAAACTGAAAGGAAGACACTTCTGTTAGCTAAAACAAATTCAAAAGCAAAACTTTTTTATGTTAAAAAAAATTCGTTTAAGATTGAGATAAAAATTCCATGGATAAAAATAAAATATTCTATACTACAGCGAGGCTGTAGGAAAATGTTAAAAAATGAGATAAAGTAAAACATTTTATTCCCGTGGATTCTACTAACAATAGTTATACTAAACTAATACAGAATTTGAAAAAATATACGTTGAAGCCACATACGAAACGTGTGTTGTGCTATGTAACGACTTGTTTGATGGTCAAATGGTATAATATACGGCTTTTAAAAGACAGACCTAGTTTAGTTGCCTACTAAAAGTGCGTAAGCAAATAAATTTCATTGAATTTTACACCGTAGTGTGGTCGTTAAGGAGAAACGAATGGAAATAATTACTAACTTTTATTTATGATTTTGCACGTACTTGGTAAGAAACATAATAACTCAATTCCATGAAGGTGATAGAGCAATCGATGCTTTTCTGCTTTGGGAGAGTCACACAACTGTAACATGACCTGTACCCCACTTGGTATAGGATTTACGTTTACCAGAACATACGGAAGCTTATCAATTTTGTTGTATTATGCTCGCACACCAATCAGTTGGTGAGCAGAAAAAACTGCGTGTTCTTAGTAGAAGCGCGTAATTTTACTGATGCGCCTGGTGTCAGTCAGAGTAAGCAAGAATTATGCTCATCAAGGATACATTTAAATAGTTATCTTTATAATGACGTAAGACGTAATGGAAACATCCCTTGCAAGTTGTGATTACTCGTGTTAAAATACGTAAAGTATGTTTATAAGGGTATAGGACATTGAAACTGCTTGATTCATAGTACTGTAAATGCATGTTTTTTTTTCTTACTTCAACAAGGAACACGTGCTCGTGCGTCTCCGAGGGGGATTAATGGATACACCAATCACAACAGAAATTGGTGATTTCAAACAATTCACTTCAATTTAAAAAAAAGAGGGTCTTATTACAAGATCAATAACATTCTAATAGACTCAACGTTGTAATTTTACATACACCGATAGTATAAACACGCGTTCTCTCGCTGCATATACTTATATCGACGCCTCTTACGAAAAACATTGCAACTCAGAAATTCCAATGTTTTTTTAAATAGAAAAATCTGAGTTGCAATGTTTTTTGTTAGAGGCGTCGATATATATTGAGGTGGTCCTTAGGTGTGTTTTCTAATTTCTTTCCTCCTGGGAGTTGTAAAGCTTCCAAATTGATAAAAAAAATTTCCTTGAAAATTATAGTTCTTAATGCTAATTCCACAGATAGTCTGCATTTCAATCTAAATTTCTTACGAAAATAGCACAAGAAAAGTTTTTTCTTTCTTTAGAATTTTATAACTCGGGGACAAATAGATCTATAACGATAAGTCATACATATTTTAATAGAGAATTTAACGTTTAAAAAAAAGTTTCCTTATGATTTTCTGCAAAAGTCTATTGATTTAAAAAATATTTAAGCTTAAAGATTAATTTTTATATAATCATTAATAATATTAATTACATTGTTAAAATAAATCTTTGTATTATGAAATATATTATACAGTTCTTAGAGGCTTTTTTAATTCAAAAATAATTTACGTCATCGTAACTATAAACTCAAATGTAGATTTAAGTAATAAAAATGTTAATGCATTTTTCAACAGAGGTGTTCATTTTATTATATATTTCATAAAATTGATGACTATGTAGAGTTTAAACTTTGAGCTCAAATAATTTTTAAACCAATAGACTTAACAAAAAATATAAAGGACTTTTTTTGTAGAACATTAAACATT